AAAAAAAAAAAAAAAAAGGTTTGAAAAATAAAAGGTCTTATGTTTTTCCTCCTTCGAAAAATGGGGTTAATAAGGAAAGCAAAATAAAAATATGTTGAAAAAAATCTACCTCGTTCTCAACTCGCGAGGATCATGTGGACAATATTAATCTGTTTATTAAAATAGACCATTACTCCCACGTGCGCTGCAACACATGAAATTTGTAGGCAAAATAGTATTTTTGGTCCTCTTAGTTTAATCTGGTAGCAATTTTAGTCTCAAGATTTTAATTTTTTGTCTTTTAATCATGTAATTTGGTATTTTGTTGCAATTTCAGTCTTTTGGGACCGAAATTGCAACAGAATTTAAAATTATAGGACTTAAATTGCTAATAAAAAATCTAACTAAACAATTTTTTATTAACAGTTTAAGTCATGTAATTTTATGTTTTGTTGCATTTTCAGTCCTAAATGATTGAAATTGCGTTGAATTTTAAAATCATAAGCAAAAATGTCCAATTTTCTAGCCGGACTAAAATTGTAATTTTGCCAAATTTTTATATTTATGTGGGTCCCACTTGCCACTTACCGTGCACGTGGTCACCAGCCGGGGTCGGTTTCGGCGCGATGGCTAATCGTCCGTTCCATTGTCCGACTTTCGAGAATATGAAAAATGATTCAACGAGTATGAGAGAGTCGAGTTTGAGTTTTTGATACTCGAGTTTGAATTTGAACTTGTGTTTTCAAGTTCGAATTTGACTCTTTTATCAATACTAACGAAACAAATTATATAAAACTACATCGAATTCGACTTGTTAATTAAACGAGTTCAAATTTGGATCGTTTATCAAATGAACCCAATAGAGCTCGAGACATAACAAATCCAGCTGAACCGAACTCACCAGCAACTTTTTTGTTTAACTACGGGCCCAACCTATAATCGGTAGACCCATTGGATACCAACCCAACTTGAGAATTTTAGAATATTTAAAATAATTAGATGTAACTCACATATAAACGATCATTTTTTTTTTTTTAAAAAAATTCAAGATCAAATCTTGTAGCCACTCGGTTTAAGGGTTTATAAATCAATAAAGCGTGACGTATGATAATGTGAGTATTTGATTTTTTTTAAAAAAATAAATAATAAATAAATATTAAATGCCGGTTAATATAAATGAGGAGAAAAATTATCCTATCGTTTGGAAAAAAAAATAAATAAATAAAATCTTTTTTATGGACAATAAGAATAAATAAAGTTGGATTTTTCATGTACAATCAACTTAGGCTGTTAGGCAACCATAAAGCCTAACAAATAGTTGGAACTTATGGTAAGGGGGCCTATAAATTTCTCAGAGTGGCGGATACATATAGTCATGCTCATTCTTTGTTAAAGCCTAAAATACAAGAATGTATTTTACACACATTCATACAAATTTCAACATATATGTGTACTATCATAAATAAAAGGTTATACTTTAATCAGACAATATAAATATAATTAAAAGTATGAAATTTTATATTATGATTGATCATCATTTTTATTTAAAATATACTAATACAACACTCGTGTATTACACACGTGCTTGTTCAAAAATTATTCTTAAATTTTAAAATTAATGAGAGAAATTATTTTAAATTTTATTTATTTTTTACAGAAAATATATATTATTATATATTTTAGAATGACACTTGTTACTTGTGAGACTTACATTTGTTATATTATAGTAATTTTGTAACTATATCACATACCTACTTGAAATATAAAAATATTAATTGATGAATAATTTTATTTTTTAAATTAATGTTAAAAATAATTTTATTATTGTTGTAAAGATAAATATATTTATTTTTTTATACATACAATATGGATGTTAAATCGAAGTTCATCAAAGACTATTAATTTGATATATTATATATATAACTGATAAAAAACACAAACGTTATTAACTTTTAAAATACATTTACGATTCAATGGTTATAATAAGAATGATATTAAAATGTAATTTGTACATGTAACATGACCATAAATAACATATTTATGAATTATCTAAACCTGATTATTTTTGGATTGGAAGTAAATTAAAATCTACTCAAATCTAATAACGAAATATGTAATTTTACCACATAAGATCCCGAAGCATACGAATCTGCCACTTACGCTCAACACGTTTTGAATTAATATACATGAGGAACATTACAAATTGATGTGTCAATCGTTAAATTGTTACACAGAATAATCTTGCTATAAAGTGGTGCAGCTAAAACCGCATGTTTAGAAAAGCCTTATGTCAAATTTTTATAATCGGGGCATCAAAGTTGCGGTTCCACACAGTGAAGCGCACCATAAGAGGGTGAGTCTAAATGCACCTTAGTGAGGTTCCATCTCAAAATCAATTGGTGATGAGATGAGTAGGCCAATAGGCTTATAAACTAGACTAATTTACCCTATCAAATCGAAGTGAGACAAAACTTGCAAATGATATTCCAACACCTCACGTGATTTCATACAACACGAGACATTGTGATGTTATTGTTAAATAGGAAAAAATAAAGCACAAGTTTTGAATTGATTATGTAAATAGAACTTTGATAAGAGGTAAACAAAATTGAGTACATATATGTTAGATTATGGATTATTAAACACACTAGATTGATTGATAATAGTAAATAAAATTACTGATTGTGGTTCTATATATGTCAGCACTTACATATAACCACTGATAACATCACCAAAACCAGGTAAATAAATAACAAATGAAAAATAAAAATGAGCTTGAAATTAACAATGGCAAACAGTCAAACCATATAGTACATAAAAAAGAAAAAAAAAATAAAATTCAAGGAAAATAATAAATAAATAATAAGAGTACATCAAAAGATGACATGACGTCATAAATACAAATACACACAAATGTGATTACACATATTACCTCAACTGTCATGTATGGTGGCATCTGTAGACAACAAAAGGAATTTGATTATCAAAATAAAATAAAATAAAATAAAATAAAATGTAAGAATGTTTGAAGTATATCATATTTATTTAAATACAATAATTTGGTAGCACTAAAGTTTGTAATTACAATCTATATTAATTATATTATTACTCTAAAAAAGTCGGGGAAACCATTTCTTGGATATGCTGCGATCTCGTTACGGAATCATTCCGTCGGGGTTCGTAACAGTTGAATAATTTCTGATTTAACTATATCCAAATGTTCTGATAAAAGATAAAAGATTCTTGTTCTTATCAAAGAAAACAACACTTATTAGATGTGATGGCATAACTAACACCTTTGAGTTGAGGACATATATAAAATGACATATAAAGAGCTAAAAGCCTTAGCATAACATGAACAAATGCATAAAAGTATCCTATGTAATCAAGAAAATCAACATTCAATGCAAAACCCTCCCAAAAAAAATTAAAAATATTACATTACTCAGATAAATCGCACCTCGGTTAATTCGTCGGAAGTAGTGAAGCATGATCGTCGAACATTTCGCACTTTTTCACGTGAACTTTATAGCTCGGCGAACTCATGCCAGGATGGACTTTCCTTTTCAACACCCTCCGAACCATCTAACCAGATATCGACACGCGAATGAACTCTTCAATTATTTCGAATAAAATGAAAAGGAAAGAAAGAAAATCATAAATATGCATTGAATCAAGAAAACAAAAGTTACCGACTTTCTGCAGTTTTCGTATGGGACGAGCTTCCTCGGTGATAGTCAGCTTCGAGTCTCCCGCATGCTTTTTAGTACGTTTCGCTTTCTTTATTACATTACTACGATCAACAATATTATTATTATTATCGTTATTGTTGTTTTTTGTCGGCTTTTTGTCGCTCGCATGGGAATCCGCAGCCGAAAACAGGTCGGCCAGTGTGATCCTCTGTGTCTTCTCCATCATCACATAATCATAACACCTTTCCTTATTGTGATTATTATTAATATTAACTCCCTCCATTATTAGTCCCTTGTAATCGTGCTCGAAAGCTGCAAAGACAAAAGGGTTCTTCACTTCCTCTTCATTACTTTCTTCTTCTTCTTCTTTTTCTGAGGCCGTCTCGTTCTCTTCATTATTTTCTTCATATTTTTCCGGTTCGTCTTTGAAAAATGATGAGAAGCTATTGTTTTCGTCATTGGGCTCGCTTAATGGATCGTATCCGAATGTTCCAATGGTCAGAATATTCCCTCCACTCAAGAGCTGATCAAACACATTGTTCGATTCGATGTTGTTTTCACGAACAACTATCTTGTTTGCGTTTTCTTCAGATCCACCTGTCGAGTAAATTCAATCTTTTGAAAAGAAAAGAGAAGAATACATGAGTTTAATGGTAATTCTTTATCATAATATATATGTATATACATACCTCCTTTGTAGCTAAGTTTTCGGTGAACCCAGTTGAAGATCTACAAAATAAATAGACTGTTGTTAATAATAAACTTTCAATTGACCAACAAAAAAAAAAAAGAAAAAAAGGAAAAAGATTGTTTTTTATCAAACTGAAGAAAACTTGCCTTCATTTTGTCCTGAAGATTTGTCGAACTTTTTTTTTCCCTGACGAACGAGCCGAGTGGCAAGTGAATGTCCGAGTCTAAAGCAGGGGACTAAAAGGAGAGGAGAAATTAAGTTTGAAAAAGGTGACACGTGTCAGAAGAGTCGTGTGGCCCACGCCAGGTAGACGCCTTTTTGGGAGCCTCTTGTCGTCTGTTTTCGAACGATCCTCCCAAAAATCATCCGAAAAATTAAACGACCCCTTATATATGCATGCATGTGCCCCTCACCTTTCGCGTCATAGTGAAAAAAACTGCGATTAAACTTCGGTCGAAATTCGTAATCACTTTATTCCGTTGATCTCGATAGTTAATAACGTGCTGTGTGTAAAATCGACTTGTTACTATCAGCAAAAGCAAATGTTAAGTTAATCAGCTGTGGGGTTGCCAGTTGCATATTTCCCTAGCCAAGAACAAATGTAAAGCTAATTTTTCTTCAGATGATCAAATGTGAGCCCTTCGATCGTTCGAAAACACATGGTGGTACAATATACTTCAATCTTTATCACTTATAAGTTTGAGGCAATCATTTTTATTCGGTCAAAGACTTTCGTATGCTGCCAATATATAATAACTGTGCAACATTATGCACATAGTTAAAAGTGCAGTCATTGAGAAGGCTAAGATACATTTACGGATAATTAATGAAGCCTACAAAACCGGTACTTTGAACATGTGGCTAACTCGACAGCTAATGAGATGCCTAATTCTATCTATACTATTATAAAAGAGCCAATGAATCTGTAAAAATATGATATCTCTAAATTAACCTTACTTTGTCATGTTTATAATGTCAATTTTGTAATTTAATACCCCCATTCTATACTAATATTTTAATACCCCCATTCTATACAAAATTATGACATTACCTTACCAAATACTCATTTTTTTAAAATTTAGACAAGCAATGTATCTTTGTACCAAAAAAAATAAAAAATAAAAAATAAAAAAATAAATAAAAAACGCGTTCAGTATGATAGATAAGGAAAAAACTAATAAAAAATATTATTGCTTCACATGAGCAATTGATTTTCAAGATGAGCGTTCTATAAACAATGATAATTCAAATTTTTGTATATTAAATATTTTATTTATTGATATTATTTTAAGATTTGTAAATATTTTTATGATTTTCTCAATAATTTTAAGAGTTTATTTAACCGTAAGTATATAACATAAACTTCTTAGCAATATTTATTTAATTTTATAAGTTTATTAATAACAATTATGTTAGTATTAAATGTGACATGGAGGCCAAAACTATCGCTAATTATACATAATATGAATGTTTAATTTAAATCAATTTTATTTCTTAAGCAAAAAATAAAAAAACAATACAATTTACCAAATAATTGCTTTAATGTTTTTAAATTATCTTTTAAGACTATTGAAATCTAAATCAAATTGTGTACCATATGTGTGTAATGGTTCATGAAAAATATAATATATATAGTATTTGAATGAAAAAAAAAAATTTGAATTTCAACCAAAACTTGAATATTAATATATATTTTTAACTCACGAAAATATATAATTAACAAGATCCAATGAAGAAAAAAAAAAACATACAAAAACTATTTTACTGGAAAAGGAGAAGATAATATGAACAATATATAAAAACTTTGCTAACATATGGCAGTTGACTTATAACTGCTATATTTTATCAATAAAAATAATGACAAAGAATGGTCTCTTTCAACAAGATAAGAAGACAAAATTGTAAACTAACATATGCAATTATTCATGTCAAAGATTTTAATTTAGTTTTACTGTTCATATTTGTCAATTTTCCCCAAACAAAAAAGATTTCGAATAAACAAGACTAACTTAGATAATGAAGGTTTCTCAACTAAAATTTTCATGCAATCTTTTTCACTATTACTTTTAAATATTATTTTTTCAACTTTCAATATATTTGACATTGTCCATTATGTAATGTACTTCTTGTGATTGATTAATTGAAAATAATTATTCAAAAAATTAGAATAGATCATAAAAATATAAAAGACAAACTATAACTTATATAAGTAAGAAAATTGAAATCGATAATATTTTTCCTCATAATGTCCATAAAGTATAGAAATATTTTTTGTTTTTCAAAATAATCTATAAAAAAAGAATAAATTGTGTAGTAGTATGAGAATGGTTGAATTGTTATTTTGCAGCCTAAACTTCTAATATACTAAATTTCCTTTCTTAAAATAAGATTAGAACAATTTTATGAATTTGTATAAAATTAAAACCCATACTATTTATTTTCATGTCGAATGGGATACCACTTGAGCAACATGATTTAATTTAGATCATATGATTATCTATAAATTAATTAAAAATATATGGATAATCATGATATGCCTATATACTTTGAGAATTAATTAAATTTTAACAATAAACAATCTCGCTATATTACCATTACTCATCTATCTATTTATTTGTATTATTCACACAAAGCAATTTCTTATAAAAAAAAATCATTAAAATTTCGCTGTAACATGTTTCATTGGAATTTTATCAATTGTTTACAGTAAAAGTGACTCCAAATCAAATTAAACAATTTTGCACTATATATAATATTGTGTGCAGTTAACTATTTTGAAAATTATTGCCAGTGATACAAAATATAACATATTCAATGTATTTATGATTTAACTTATGATAATTAGTGAATCTTTTTTTAAAAAAGATATATCTAGGTTGAAAAAGTTCGTTTTTATTTATTAGTATTGTAATAACTAAACAAGAGGTAAGAATGATGTTTTACGTATAAAAAAAAAGATA